CCAAAGCTGTATGGAAAGCGTTCAGGGAAGAAAAGCTACAGAGAGTGAACCTGAGCAGATTGCTTAGCCTGGTTTCTAGCAAAGGTGTTGCAGTTCCTGCTGTGGGCAAAGACATTTGAGAATCACTGCAACAGGCCCCTCCCAGAGAAAATCTCAAGAACATCCAGTCAAGACCAAGTTCACCAATCAATGAGAACTGTGGAACTCCAGAGTTAAGAGAATGCTGCACATAGAATTCATGCTTTTTTCCCAGTGATTCTTTAGTCTCTCAAAGTTACATATTTTAAATTTTATTTTCTTCTTATTCTATTTTAAAAAAAGTTTCCTCTTTCCTATCTTAACCTTTTTAAACTCTTTTATCTTATCAATACCTTTCCAAAAAATCTTTTTAAATTTTCATTGTCATAGTCATATTCTAACCTTTCATTAAAGTGAGGGGGTGGAAAAACAATTTACCATGCTAATGGACATCAAAAGAAAGCAGGGGTGGAAATCCTTATATCAGACACATTAGATTTTAAGCCAAAACTATAATAAGAGATGAGAAAGGACACTATATCATACTTAAAGTTCTGTCCAACAAGAAGAGCTAACAATTGTAACTATCTATGCTCCTAACATGGGAGCAGCCAACTATATAAACCAATTCATAACAAAATCAAAGAAACACATTGACAATAATACAATAATAGTAGGGGACTTTAACACCCCCCTCACTGAAATGACAGAGCATCTAAGCAAAAGATCAACAAGGAAATGAAGGTTTTAAGTGACACACTGGAACAGATGGGCATCACAGATCTACTCAGAATATTCCATCCCAAAGCAACAGAATACACATTCTTCTCTAGTGCACATGGAACATTCTCCAGAATAGATCACATCCTAGATCACAAATTAAGTCTCAGCTGGTACCAAAAGATTGGGATCATTCCCTGCATATTTTCAGAGCACAATACTTTAACTAGACCTCAACCACAAGAAAGTTGGAAAGAACTCAATACATAGAAGCTAAAGAGCATCCTACTAAAGAATGAATGGGTCAACCAGGGAATTAAAGAAGAATTTAAAAAATTCATGGATACAAATAAAAATGAAAACACAACTGTTCAAAATCTTGGGGATGCAGCAAAGGTGGTCCTGAGAGGAAATTATATAGCAATACAAGCCTTTCTCAAGAAACAAGAAAGTTCTCAAGTAACAACTTAACCCTACACCTACAGGAACTAGTGAAAGAACAGCAAAGAAAGCCTCAACCCAGCAGGAGAAGAGAAATAATAAAGATGAGAGCAGAAATCAATGAAATAGAAACCAAAAGAACAGAAGAACAGATCAACGAAACTAGGAGTTTGTTCTTTGAAAGAATTAATAAGGTTGATAAACCCCTGACCAGACTTATCAAAAAGAAAAGAGAAAGACCCAAATTAATAAAATCATGAATGAAAGAGGAGAGATCTCAACCAACTCCAAAGAAATACAAACAATTATAAGAACATATTATGAGCAACTATATGTCAGCAAATATGACAATCTGAAGAAATGGATGCATTCCTAGAGACATATAAACTATCAAATCTTAACCAGGAAGAAAAAGAAAACCTGAACAGACCCATAACCAGTATGGAGATTGAAGCAGTCATCAAAAATCTCCCAATTTTAACAAGAGCCCATGGCCAGACAACTTCCCAGGGGAATTCTACCAAACATTTAAAGAAGAATTAATACCTACTCTCCTGAAACTGTTCCAAAAAATAGAAATGGAAAGAAAACTTCCAAACTCATTTTATGAGGCCAGCACGACCTTGATTCCAAAACCAGACAAAGACCCCATCAAAAAGGAGAAGTACGGACCAAAATCCCTGATGAACATGGATGTAAAAATTCTCACCAAAATACTAGCCAATAGGATCCAACAGTACATTAAAAGGATTATTCACCACGAACAAGTGGGATTTATTCCTGGACTGCAAGGTTGTTTCAACAACTGCAAATCAATCAATGTGATACAATACATTAATAAAAGAAAGAACCAGAAACATATGATACTCTCAATAGATTCTGAGAAAGCATTTGACAAAGTACAGTATTCTTTCTTGATCAAAATTCTTCAAAGTATAGGGATAGAGGGTATATACCTCAATATCATAAAAGCCATCTATGAAAAGCCCATAGCAAATATAATTGTCAATAGGCAAAAACTGAGAGCTTTTCCCCTAAGGTCAGGAACACAGCAGGGCTGCCCTCTATCACCACTGCTATTCAACATAGTACTAGAAGTCCTAGCTTCAGTAATCAGAAAACAAAAAGAAATAAAAGGCATCTGAATTGGCAAAGAAGAAGTCAAACTCTCACTCTTCACAGATGATATGATATTTTATGTGGAAAACCCAAAAGACTCTGCTCTAAAAATGCTAGAACTCATACAAGAATTCAGTAAAGTGTCAGGATATAAAATCAATGCACAGAAATCAGTTGCATTTCTATATACCAACAACAAGACGGAAGAAAGATAAATTAAGGAGTTGATCTCATTTACAATTGCACCCAAATCCATATGATACCTAGGAATAAACCTAACCAAAGATGCAAAGAACCTGTACTCAGAAAACTATAGAGTACTCATGAAAGAAATTGAGGAAGACACAAAGAAATGGAAAAATGTTCCATGCTCATGGACTGAAAGAAAAATATTGTGAAAATGTCTATGCTACCCAGAGCAATCTACACATTTATCAAAATACCATCACTGTTCTTGAAGAACTGGAACAAATAATCCAAAAATTTATATGGAATCAGAAAAGACCCCGAATAGTTGGAGGAATGTTGAAAAAGAAAACCAAAGTTGGTAGCATTACAATTCTAGACTTCAAGCTCTATTACAAAGCTGTAATCAACAAGATAGTATGATACTGACACAAAAACAGGCACACAGGTCAGTGGAACTGAAGAGAAAGCCCAGAAATGGACCCTCAACTCTATGGCCAACTAATCTTCGATAAAACAGGAAAGAATGTCCAATGGAAAAAAGACAGTCTCTTCAACAATGGCATTAGGAAAATTGGACAGCCACATGCAGAAGAATGAAACTGGATCATTTCCTTAAACCACACACAAAAATAAACTCAAAATGGATGAAAGACTTCAATGTGAGACAAGAATCCATCAAAATCTTTGAGAAGAACAGGCAGTAACCTCTTTGACATTAGCTGCAGCAAATTCTTCCTAGAAAAATCACCAAAGACAAGGGAAGCAAGGATAAAAATGAAATATTGGAACTTCATCAAGATAAAAAAAAAAAAAACTTTTGCACAACAAAAGAAACAGTCAATAAAACCAAAAGACAACTAACAGAATGGGAGAAGATATTTGCAAATGACACATCAGATAAAGGGCTAGTATCCGAATCTATAAAGAACTTATCAGGGGCACCTGGGTGACTTAGCAGTTTAAGCTTCTGCTTTCGGCTCAGTTCATTATCCCAGGGTCCTGGGATTGAGCCCCACATTGGGCTCTCTGCTCAGTGAGAAGCCTGCTTCCCCTCCCCCCTTGCCTGCCTCTCTGCCTACTTGTGATCTTTGTCTGTCAAATAAATGGATAAAATCTAAAAAAAAAAAGAACTTATCAAACTTAATACCCAAAGAACAAATAATCCAATCAAGAAATGGGCAGAAGACACGAACAGACATTTCTGCAAAGAAGACATCCAAATGGCCAACAGACACATGAAAAAGTGCTCAACATCACTTGGCATCAGGGAAATACAAATCAAAACCACAGTGAAATACCACCTCACACCCGTCAGAATGGCTAAAATATTAACCAGTCAGGAAACAACAGGTGTTGGCAAGGATGTGGAGAAATCCTCACTGTTGGTGGGAATGCAAGCTGGTGTAAACCACTCTGGAAAACAGTATGGAGGTTCCTCAAAGAGTTGAAAAGAGAGCTACCCTATGACCCAGCAACTGCACTATTGTGTTTTTATGCTAAAGATACAAATGTAGTGATCCAAAGGGGCCTGTGCACCTGAATGTTTATAGCAGCAATGTCTACAATAGCCAAACTATGGAAAGAGCCTAGATGTCCATCAACAGATGAATGGATAAAAAAGAGTGGTGTATATCTAGAACGGAATACTATGCAGCCATCAAACATGAAATCTTGCCATTTGCATTGACATGAATGGAACTAGAGGGTATTATGCTGAGTGAAATAAGTCAATCAGAGAAAGACAATTATCATATGATCTCATTGATATGCGGAATCTGAGAAATAAGACTGAGGATCATGGGGGAAGGGAGAGAAAAATGAAACAAGATGAAACCAGAGATGGAGACAAACTGACTCTTAATCTCAGGAAACAAACTGAGGGTTCCTGGAAGGGCAGGGGTAGGAGGGATGGGATGGCTGGGTGATGGACATTGGGGAAGTTATGTCCTATGGTGAGAAAAATAAGTAAATTAATTAACTTAAACAAATAAACTCCCTGAACCTTCTGCTTGGTTGTCTCCTCCCCTGGGTAACAATTTTCTGGCCAGTTTCTAAATCCTCTTACCCCAGTCCATGTCTCCTCATGCCCAGTTCTTTCTTTCTGTGAATTCACAGGGTTTCTTGATCAGTTACTTGTAGCCTAGGCCTTATTTCATACTCTGCAGTAACTGTATGCTCACTTATGCATTGTTCTCACTAGATTATAAACTTGGCCAGAGACAGATACATAGCAATTATCTAGAATCCCAGCATCTATCCTATCCAAGTACCTGGCCCATTGTTAAGTGTCTTGAATGAGGAGTGAAAATAAAAGAGAGATGCTAGTGCTCAGGGGAGGGGGGAGGAAGACTATAACTGAAGAACCATGCACACTCGTTTCCTGCTCACAACACCACCCCCCTAGGACCCCCCCCCCCCCGAATCTGCTTGCAATGGCTTCCTGGCTCTGCCTGCTGTCTGGGCTGCAGGATGTGAGTGAGCAAGCCCTTCAGCATCTCTCCCAGTTCCTTTACCTGAGTACAGTACTGCTTTTCTAGCCTCTGGCTCTCCTTCTGTTTCTGGCAGGTGAGAGACACCACGGACACGATGGTGCCGTTGTAGTTCTCCTGGGAAGACGTCCAGGACATCAGCGCAGTCGTTGAGCTCAGGACGTGGACACTCACGTGCTGGGGCTTCTCAGTCAGTTCTTCGATCCACTCTCCTGAAGGGCCTGAACATTTCAAATAAGAGCACAAGGGAGGTTTCATGCTGAGCTGGTGGAGATACGAGTCGAGTTTTAAAAACTTGTTTTTTCCTTTCACCCTTACACACAGAGTCAAGGTAAGACTGGCGGCTGGATGGGCACAGCCCTCTGTCCCCTGCCTCTGAGGTTCTTCCAGAGAGAATCGACTCCTCTTTCAACGCAGAGGAGGTGTGGTAGTGGGGGCATTTCATCAGTGTTTAGAATTCCTCTGCCGTTAGGATCTTCGGTCACTAGAAATAATGACTTTGAGATTTAAATTACCCCCAATTGCAGTCATGGGAAAAGATTTCAAATTTGGTAGCAGCGGGATCAAAGAGACGGTGTGCGACTATATTGAGAGAAGAAATAGGCAACAGGCGGGCTCAGTTACAGAAGCTGCCTGAGAGCTGGGTGATCATTTGAGGGATGTGGTACATTCCTCATTCTAAAGTATCTCGTCAGAAGTGCCCACCATTAGCTTTGTTCTCTTAAGTTTCTCAAGTGGTTATTAGCACCGTGCCTGACCCGTGGTAAGGACTCAAGAAGTGTTGAGGCGGTTATTTTCTATGGAAGTTCCTTGTTGAAATGCACATGTGCAACTTTCCTTTATTTGCTTAGGATACAGGTCTCAGTGTCTTAATAGAGAGCTGTATTCCTTGGCTGGGATCCAGGAGAGGGAAAGGAACAAGTGGCTCTCCCTGGAAGAGCTGTCTTGGGCTCACAGCCAATGAGGTCAGGGAGAGAATGACCATAAAAAATGACAATAATAATGATGGCAAAGAGACAGAACACTCAGCATGTTCTAGGCTCTGCTTTAGGTTTGTATGTGCTTACATATGTTAACTTTTTACTTTTCATAACAGACCTATGAGATAAGTACAAGTATTTTTTTTTTTTTAATTTATTTGACAGACAGAGATCACAAGTAGGCAGAGAGGCAGGCAGAGAGAGAGGAGGAAGCAGGCTTCCCTGCTGAGCAGAGAGCCTGATGCGGGGCTCGATCCCAGGACTCTGGGATCATGACCTGAGCCGAAGGCAGAGGCTTTAACCCACTGAGCCACCCAGGCGCCCCTGATAAGTACAAGTATTAATTCCACTTTCAGATGAGAGAGGGAGGGTAAGTAGATTCACCCACAGGAAGGCTGGTTATAGAATCCATGCTCTTAACCCCTGCATGAAACCTCTGGGGGCACTAGGAACTGTCAAAAGCACTGGTTTAGAGATGGGAAAGTTGACCAAAACTCGGCTTTGACTTTGACCTTGGACAAATGTATAACTTCTCTGAATCTCTGTCAATGCACGGGCTAAATGGATTAAACCACTGAAATGTTAGAATTGAAAACTTGAGAGATCCAATACCTCACTTAAGTGATGAGAAAACTGAGGTCCAGAGATGTGTATGACTCTCACACAGCTAGTAAGTGTCTGGGGGCCAACCTAGACCTCTGGTCTCCTGGCTCAGTGCTTTGTGACAATTTATCATGATGCCATCAGTCACTGAGATCAAATGAGATCATGGGTGTTAGAGAACTCTGTAATTGTGAAGTGTGTTCATTGCCGTTAGGAAGATTCCTGGGGTAGCTGGGGCACAGAGAACTGAAGTGGGAGGAAGCAAAAGCAAAACAAATTCACGCGTTCAGTGATTTTACATTAGGACTAACCCTGATAATCAAGCCAAGGTCATGGGTCACTGCATACTACATGGAAATGTACTTTGCTATCAAATATTCCTGGGTTCTAGTCTTCATTCGAACACTTGGGAAAGTCACTAACCTTTCTGTGCCTTGGGTTTTTTTTTCCACCTGAAACATGGAATCACTGAAATGTAAAGCTGTTGGAGGACGAATGTAAATCTGTACCTTTCTCCTCATCTCTGAGGAAAGCCTTCAAAACCACAGAAATACAAATCATAATGCAACAAGAGAAACATAAATCTTAATGGAATTTAATAAATATTAATGTCATAGATTAACACCAGAACAATTTGGTCAGGAAAATGGGCCGTGACTATCATTCGGCTGGTTTGAGCCTGTACTATGTTGAGGAGGCTTACTGAGTTCCAGGATGTTATTTGTATCTATAGTTTCCAGTTTTAAACTAAAGAGGCATATGCAGTACCCCTGAATAACTCATTACTGCAGATCAGAATAACCTAAACACTAAAAATATTATTCTTTTAATGTGAGAGAAAAAAAAACAGAATTTTCAGTGTCCTATATTCTTCTAGATGAATATTAAGATACATCTCTTTGAAATAATCATATTTTTGAGCAATTCTGACACAGTCTCAATTTGGATACTCTAGAGCAGAGTGCCTGACACATGAAAGTTGTTCATTTGTTGAAGGTACAACAGAATTAATAAATTAGTAGTATAACCCCAGAGTAGGATTTTGTAATTTGGCATGAGAAATAAGATGTACACGAATAAAACAAATCTAGAAAAATATTATACACAGATAAGCTCTGTATTTTGTGCTGTGCACTATGAAACACAGTAGAAATTCAGGGAAGGAAAGGACTAGCATATGCAGAATAGCTGAGGGAGAATTATCTAGAAGCCTTGACACTTGGGGTGCATCTTACTGAGAGACACGAAAACCTTCTGGTGAATGAAACATTTTAACTTCACAGGAAGAATTAAATAGTAAATTTCATTCTCATTCTTGAGTGACTGACTGAATGCCATGCAGGCAAAATTATGACTATTCTTTCTGTATACCTCATGGGTCTTTAGACCTCTTACCAATGGCAACATTTTTTTAAAAAGATTTTATTTATTTATTTGACAGAGATCACAAGTAGGCAGAGAGCCAGGCAGTTGGTGGGGGGGCAGGAAGCAGGCTCCCTGCTGAGCAGAGATTCCCAATGCTAAACTCGATCCCAGGACCCTGAGATCAGACCTGAGCTGAAAGCAGAGGCTTAACCCACTGAGACACCCAGGCATCCCAACATTTTTGGTTTCTTAAATAGAAATGCTACAAGCGACCTTTTCAACATTTTTCAGCTGTTAAATAAATGGATGTCTTCCCTCTGTCCTCCTCATTCTCCCATCCACCCTTTTGAAGATTATTTGCTGAAAGGTGGTATTTGCCTTTGGAGAAATTGACAAAGTATGTGGTGGTCATATTTTTTGAAGAGTCATTTTTATCCATTGCCTTCTGGTTTTTTCTTTCGGTGGATGGAAGGCACATTTAACTGCTGATAAACGAGGTAACTGATTTTTGGCCTTGAAACCTCTGGTGAGCATATTCCGGTTAGCTAAGAACATTACAGACTTGCACAATTGGTGCAGCTTCTGGAGGCTAGTTATTTGCTCCATTATTGCCCCTCATGGAATCAGGGGAAGCCACTCGAAGACTTGAATTGGGGCTTTTAGAATGCTCTAGCTTTGTCTTCTTGGGCCAAATTTATGGTGACCACCTAGGTCCCACAACACTTACATCTCTGGTTTTCTTCTGAGCTCTCTCAGCTCAATATTCTACTGAGACTTTTCCCTCAGTCCAACAATATCAATTTTCTATATGACCTCAAACGAAAGTCACAGGTCCTAAACAGGGTGTCTGTGTCCTTGGAGGGTTTGGAGGGTTTGTTACAGCTAGTGTGGGAGGTCAGCTTAATAAATGTTCAATTACCACCATAATAAAAAAATCCGTAAGTTAAATCTCTGGGTAGGTTTATCACTATGAAACATGCATATATTTCTTCTGCTGTCAAAATCTCATGGATCCGGGCCTCTTCTGACCTTGATGATTTCTCAGGGTCTCTGAGGTTTGATGAATAATTGATGCCTGAACATCATTAATCTCCCCAGCTCTCTTGTCCTAGCTCCCCCATAAGTGCAAAATAATCTCTTTGGTACTTACTGATATAAAAACTGAGTGATTTTGCTGACTGGCTTTTTCGAGTTTCACAAGATCCTGAGGAGCTAAAGGTCGTCACAGATAACTTATATTTCCCAGGCTCCTTCAGTTCTGCGACAAATTCGTGTGCTTCTTCATCCACTGTCAAGTATTCAGTAAAGTTTTCTGCATCATATATAAAAAAGAGAATACATATGAATTGAAACCTGGAAGGGCCTTGAATGTAGACAAGTCAATACAAAAAATTTGTAAAAATTGTGAGTTACAAGACCCTATTTTCCACAGAATATACTGTGGAACAGAAAAAATAAAAGACAGATTAAGGGCAGATGAAGACAGATATATTTTATACAAGTAATGCCAAGTAAATGTGAAGACTTTTGACTCAAATAATTGGAAATGGCAAAAGATTTCAATTTTACACATTATTTGGGTATGGTAGATTGTTCTATAATCCAGGGTAGAGGAATCCACAAATTTTGCTGTCTTATTTTTAAATACCTTTTTTTTTTTAAAGATTTTATTTATTTATTTGACAGACAGAAATCACAAGTAGGCAGAGAGGCAGGCAGAGAGAGAGGAGGAAGTAGGCTCCCTGCTGAGCAGAGAGCCCAATGTGGCTTGATCCCGGGATCCTGGCATCACGGCTGGAGCCAAAGGCAGAGGCTTTAACCCACCGAGCCACTCAGGCGCCCCTTGGTGTCTTATTCTATAAAATAAAATAAGGGCAAACAAGAGGCACTCTATGATGTTACCTGATGCTAGTGTCCTGAAAATAACGCTATCATATGAACTTCAAATTTTGACAACTTGACATTTGCCACTCAAACTACTAGACTAAAAAGTATAAAATGAAGTATGTTATTGAAAAAACAAAAATAACAAATAACTATAATAACCTGCCAAATGACCATTTAGATGTGATTCATGACCCACACTGATTGCAGGCCAGGGCCCTGTTTTTCATGAGTTAGTGGACTAAAATACGAAGAAGAGCTCTGGGAATTTAGATCAATGACCATGGTCCAGGATATGGCAGCTATGGTGAAAATACTAGTTGCTGTGCATTTTCTATTTTACGACCAGCTCCTCTTCAGGAAAATGTAGAGTGGTGCTGGTCTCCCAGGGGCCCACCCTGAGGCAAACAAGAGTCGCTAGATGAGCCAGACCCGGGGCTGGCCCCCTTGGGAAGGTAGCTTTCTTGTCAGATTGTTTTGCTACATGTTTCACAAACAGTATACTAGGAAGTAGAAAATTTCTTCAGGATATTTTGTAATTTGGCATGGTTAGAACTTCAATTCACACTCTTTCCAAACAGAAGGTTTTCCTCAGTGGCCTGGAGTACGCAACATGTTGGGCAGTGAAAGGTAAGCGAGTTGTGAATACGCGAAACTTAGAAACTACCTAAACCTTGGATTCTGATCCTAACTATTTAATTGTGTTTTCTAGTGTTAGGGAGCATTGCTACTCAAATTCTTCCCTTTCTTGACCATTTTTTCTCTAAATAGTAACTGTCTCCCATCAGTCTTTCTTCTTAAATATTTTAGTTTTAACATATGTCAATGTCTTTTCCTTTGCGCATCAGTTCTTATTTTCGCTGATTTCTTATCACTTTACCTTCTCTTTCTATGTGGATATGGAACCCATCGAAGGCAGTGGGTGGTTTGGGTGGTAACCAATTCAGGATCATTTGTACAGGAAAAAATGAGAGCGAGCCTGCTGTCGATTTCTCAGTCTCACTGAGCATACTGTTATTTTCATATTCCATGGGAAGGACACTGACAAAGTCATCTTCACTCTCGGGGGTGGCGGGGGCGCTGCCCCACCAATAGGGCTGGGATGTAGTCTCGTCGTCACTGCTGTTGAAATCGGGCCAACCGGAAGAAATGTTGCCAGAGGGACTTTCAGAAGCTTCATCCGTGAAATGGAAAAGTTTGTCTTTTCCCACCATCTCTTGTGATCTAATGAACGATTCCTCTGGGAAACTGCCACTCTGTTCTTCCCAATTGTTTTTGTTCAAGTTTACAATACGAACCGAGATATTTCGAGGTGGATAAGGGGCTGTAAGAGAGAGAATTTTTATTTTCCAGTAATTTTTAATTCTATTGTAGTGAATACTTCTTCTATTAGTGAGACAAATACACAAACAGATGTACAAAATAGAGGTTAGTTTTACTTCTACTATATAAAGATAATCTACATCAAGAACTATTGTGGTGTCAAGTTCCACATTTGTCTAAGATTTTGTATGTGATGTGTACACATGGGTATATTACCACTCATACTTCAAATACATTAACTAGTGATAGGATGCTTGTCCAAGTGGTAATCTAACCATGTCCAAAGTAGAGTTTCACAAATATTCTTTAGCTTATCAAAATCTCCTTTTTAAAAAACCTGAGTCTCTGCCACTGGATCTTTTTTACAACAAAGCAACTACAGTGTACTCTAGCTATCAAGATAAAAATACTGCCTGTGACAATTGTACTTAAGAGAGTTACATATGTACCTTTATTTATTTTTTTTATTTTTTAAGATTTATTTATCTATTTGACAGAGAGAGAGAGAGAGATCACAAGTAGGCAGAGACCAGCAGAGAGAGAGAGAGGAAGCAGGCTCCCTGCTGAGCAGAGAACCTGATGCGGAGCTCGATTCCAGGACCCTGGGATTATGACCTGAGCCGAATGCAGAGACTTAACCCACTGAGCCACACAGGCGCCCCAAGTTTTCTTTTTTCTTTCTTTTTTTTTTTTTTAAGATTTATTTATTTATTTGACACAGAGAGAGAGAGAGAGATCACAAGTAGGCAGAGACGCATATGTGCCTTTAGAAACATTAACACGGATGTTAGAAATATGGCTTCACTCCTCACCTCTCCAGAATGAAACATTTGAGCACAAAATCCATGTATGAATTAGGGAAGCATACCTTTCTATAGGTAGAAAATTATGAAGGCACACTGTCTGGTCTCTACCTGCAACTGTTTCTATCTATCCTTTAAATAGCAACTGAAATATCACATCTTCCATGAACTTTGAAAAAAAATTAATCTTTCCCTCCTTTGTGCAGTTACATAACTTTGTACCTCTTAGGACACATATCAGTTCTGCAATGTGTGATTGCCATTTGTGTTATGCCCCTACCATTTTTGAGGACAGGGAACCTATTCCACCAGACTCTGTCTTCATCTCTCTCATACTTAGAACAACTTCCTGGTAGAAGTCACTCAATTGATAATGTTTCCTTACTTGAATTGAATGATGAAAAATACAAATAGAGTCTTAGATGTTGCCATTATGTGACTAACTTATTTAGCTGAAATAGTTCTTTGTCTTGTCTTACTTAATGAAAATCATGACATCTTAGAATTCAGACTGGCAGGGTCTCAGGGGTGATCTATTACAATCCATTCCCAATGTTTATATGAAAGGCATCTCCAACATTCCTAAAGAGTAATTTGGGCACATTAGGCATGGGCAGTGTCAATTACATTGGTATTGGTGACAGGCACTTAGTAGGTATATAATTATTTCTCTCCATTCTTCCATTTATCTACCCATCCATCCATCCATCCATCCTGTAACAGTGCTTCTTATTAGTGATGCTACTAAAATTAAACACTGCAAGTTTAGACACATCTGAATTCCAATATTTTCCTTTAATAATCTGATATTCTGTCCTAGAACATCTCCTGTCATTTTTATCGTCATATGAGAATTTTGCCAGGTTATAGAATAACTGATGTCTACTTGGTCAAGTTAAGTTACTTAATTATAACTTTTGGTAGTATCATGTAGTTATTTTTCCATTCAAAGATTATAAATCTATGATAACTTGATGTATTTTATTTTATTTTTTAAAAGATTTTATTTATTTATTTGACAGACAGAGATCACAAGTAGGCACAGAAGCAGGAAGAGAGAGAGGAGGAAGCAGGTTTCCTGCTGAGCAGAGAGCCTGATGTGGGGCTCGATCCCAGGATCCTGGGATCATAACCTGAGCTGAAGGCAGAGGCTTTAAACCACTGAGCCATCCATGCACCCCTACATTGACATATTTTAGATTTTTCTTCTGAAAATTTTGCTCCATTCCTTTCCCATTGATAGAGAATTTGTTTTAGACTATTACAAATATATATTTATTTTATTTCTTAGCTCTAGCACAGAATTTTTTTCACAATGATAGAAAGTATACATGCAATAAGCATATAGTTTAATTGTTTTTAAACTAAATTTGATTCTTCAGAAAACTTACCAGTTCTATGCTGTTTGGGCTCATGACTGACACCACTGTACTCCACAAGAGTACTTTTATTAAAAGTTGCCTCAGATACCAGTTGAAAAGTGATGTTACTATAACATATTCCTGGCAGCCAGTGATTAAATACTGTTTTTCCCTTAAAGAAATCTGAGAATAAAAACAATTATATTAAAATTTTGATCTCCTAAATGCCACATACTTCTAGAAAGTCCTAAACAATTGTGATTAAATAACTGTAAGGTATTATTTCCTGCAACTTCTGGCACCCTCAGTAATACAAAATTGGCCTAATCAAGATTAAAGATGAAAATTTGGATCTTTATATCCAAAATTCTGAAAAGCTTTTTCTGCAGGAATTGGATACAATGGAATTAAATCTTTATTATAGGAACATTTTGTGTATTAAATGGAGAGGATAACATGCGGAAATTGCAGAGATTAGGTTTATGCTAGCCATTTATTTTATGATAAAAATCAAAGATATTTTGCCACCTTATGACTTAGGAAAAAGTGATTTCATAAGACATGTTTTCACTAGGCTTACTTGTAAAAACTGGACTGTTTTTGAAGTAGAATGGTTTATCTGCCAGTTGGCAGCACCTGATTTAAGAAGGAAGGAAGGAAGGAAGGAATGAAGAAAGGAAGGAAAAAGGAAGGAAGGAAGGAAGATTGGGATTTTATTTGAAAAACATCAAAGAAAATAATAAAATTAAGATTCCAGTCCAAATTAGAAGGAAATGGGGAAAAGAAACCAAACGTACCACTTATAGAACTAAAAGCTGAAAATAAATTTAAAAATTAATGAACTTAAAAAGGAGAGCATATTTATTAATTCATTTTAAAACTCCTGGCTTTTAGTTCCACAAAAATTCCAGATGCTTTTCAATCATTCATGAATTTGTATTTGCATGTGATCCATAAGCAAATAAGGCCCCATTTATTAATTTGCATTGAAATTAATGCAATTTTTCATTGAAAATTTAAAATTTTCATTGAAAATTTAAAAATGTATAATTTGTGGAGTCTATGTTTATATTTATTTGATGCTTTAAAGCTTCAAAAATATAAATTCACTGCATTGTTTTAAACCATGTCTCATAAAAATGAAATCCATGGAAGAGATGAGTTTATGAAAGCAGCAAGTCAAAATGACACTTAACTGGATACCATGACCTGTGTGCCTCAGTATCCCTTTTTCATCTCACCAGTACCTATTTCCAGTTACAACCAGTGAACTTTGATAACCATCTTCTAAGCCCTCACAGAGAAATGTTATAGTTTTGTATCCTGAGAATATCCAAGTTTGTTTCCTTCCCAATTCGCTCCCAATGGAGCTGAATGCTCTCCCTCCTTTCCTCTTTCCTTCTCCCCTACAGTCTACTCAGAGAAGGTGACCAGGTTCTTTTGAAATGATAAATTCCCATAGGATCTTTTTTTTCTCATCTTCCCACAGGGTACCAATGAAACCAATTTTTGTATATTAATGCAATCATTTAGCTGGCCATACAGATAAACATATCCAAAGGAACAAAAAAGCATTATCATTTGCATTTGAGAATAATCTTGGATTACCTCCAAGCAAAACTTGGTAGAAGGTGCCTTTCTAGCTTCGTTGTTCTAGAAATGCCCTTCTAACACACCCAGAAGGAAATCGTTAGGTGAGGTGTTTCTAAGTTTATGTTTGAATTTATTTTTTGTATCAGACATGCTGCCTTTGGCAAGACTAACATACAAGTGATAATAATTTGAGTATTTCTTATGCTTATGCATTGCCCGTGACTAGCAAACCAGATGTTCTAAGATTCCTCATGACAAGATTTTCATAAATTAATAACTATTTTTAATGGCTCTTCCATGGTCAGATAGCGAATCATAAGACCTCTTTAGAGCAAGACAGAAGACCATTTGGCAAACATCATGTAAAAAAGCGTATTTTAAAGGTGATATTTATCACCCTTCCTTTTGCTTCTTACCTTTATATAGCATTGTTCGGAAGTCTTTCCCTTCCCAGTAGCTTATGTTTACTCTTGTGAAAACATTGTATTTTTCTGGATAATGAATTTCAAACAGGACTCCTGTTTCAGGGGAAGGTTTATAGTCATATATTGAAACACTGGTTACAGGTAGGGGTTCTGCAGAATGGAAGTAAATGGACAAAGGGGAAGTGGAGAAAAAGGGAGAAAGGCCATTATCAATACTTGGAAGTACCAAAAATTATATCTATCAGAACACTTTCCACACTTTTATTATCCATAAGCACTAAACACCCCCACACTCATGAGTTGACTGATCTCCAGAGAAGTAATTAACAAAGTACATTTATATGTTGTTGCATCTTTCAAAGAAATTTCATATTCATTTTTTCCATATGCTTTTTGCAATAACCTTGAGATCTGGGATGAGAAAATATGAATATTGCTATTCAAAGATAAAAATAATGATGATGTCTCAGAGACTTTAAATTATTTGTCAAAGGTAACTTAACAAGTATGTGGCAGAGTCTATATCTCCAAATTCCTAGTTCATTTTTCTTTTTTCCAAGCCAAGAAAACTTGATGTTAATAACAGACCAGTAACAGAAAATACATTTTGGCTCTGACCAAGGATAAATGTTTATGTGATCATTTGTTTCTTTGTATAAACTTAACATTTATTTTTCTCTATTAACTATAAGATTGCAAGCCACACTGTGTTGAGATAAATTAGAGATTATCAAACCACTCTTCCTGCAGAAGTTTAAAAAAAGTTTATTTCTATTTTGCTTGAGCTGTTAACTCATTACAAAACTTTTTAAACACTCATTTTTTAAAAAAATATTTTATTATTTGTTCATCAGAGAGACAGAGACAGAGGGAGAGGGAGAAACAAGGTCCCCACTGAGCAGGGAGCCCGATGCGGGACTTGATCCCAGGCCCCTGGGATCATTTTTTAAAACTGCAACTCGATTCACATCTGCATCTCCTCTGTATCCCATTCTTCAGCAAAATTCTTGTAAAAATGACTGAGCTCCCTCACCCTTCTGAAGGGGCTGTTGGATCAGTTTTATATGCATTCATTTGATTTGAGAAAATCATTTAAATATTTGGTTTGGAGTCAACTATTGTATTACAGACAAAAATAATTTTGATTCAAAGTCTTATTATTAGAGGATTCTCAGACATCATTTACAGCCTAAATGAAATCAGTATCTTTGCTTTAAATTTTACACTTTTAAAATTTCAAGTTTCAATACCCAAGGACACCAAAATCTGATTTAATTTATTCCACAAGTATCAAGGACCTACTTTGTCTTAATCTGTAGGTAAATATTTTTCATTTTGCCCTCCAGGATCATAATCTATTTTAGCTTTTGCTTTTGATTGAAGAGATCCAGGAAGGACTAAAGCAACATGTTAAAGCTTTGATTTTTTTCCTGGAATTTTCTTAAAAACCAAGCTAACATCTAGCAAAAAAAAAAAAAAAAAAATCAGGAAACCTTCAGATTACAGCATATATTGTGATCATGTCCAGGTAGACTACAGGCTGTATCCTCTGGTTAAAATGTTTTTAATTTATCTTTGATTTGTCCTTGGTCTTCTTGCTTCAATGTAACATCTACAGAGTGAACTCACTTGTGTCATGTAAACCAACCACCCAACCAACCCACCCACCAATCCGGGAAGACTCTTGTATTTCTCTTTGATTAACCTACCCCCCCCCCGCAATTTTGAACTTTTGAAGATCTTTCTTTCAACCCTGTCTAATTACTAACCCACAGAGTCTACCAAATCCACCTGCTGCCTCTGTATCTAAGGGAACCAAGATGAAAGCTAACAAAAAAAGGCAGGCACAGAGCAGGGGCTATTCTACTCCTGCTGTCCAGTATCTCAGTCTCACCAGGGTTCTGTCCTACTGAAAAGAGAAGTGAGAGGTCCACCCATTCTTTCATTCCCTGAGGCATGGCATCTGCACATCAAAGACATAGTCTAATTTTGAAATTCAAGAGATGAGGATTACAGCATAGCTATTTTATTTTGTGATTGATTTATTTATGTTTGCTGTTGCAAGCTACTTCACTTTAAACAGAATTTTTTTGAAATGCCTACGTGCCTGTTTGCTTCCTACAGTTCTCTTGGCTTCAACATAAGTAACCCAGGTCAGCAGCAGATTCTAAAGTCTAAGCCCGGGCATTACTGGGGCATATTCAATCCAAGAATTACTATTTTCAATAGAACTCAAATGTGCTCTCTAAAAATATTTTACTGTCTCTCCAGTGACTTCCCTAATTATTTTTCTTTTTAGAAATTATGTGAAGTGCTATAAACCAGAGCTGTTATTACTCAAGTGTTTTTCAGTGATGACAAGGTTAAATCTTGATCTAATTCAATTTTCCTTTCTCTGCCAGCTACCCTTTACTCTTCCATTTCTTGTCTTAGGCACCAGGCAGGACTGGACAGAGAAACAGAGTTGTTAGAAAATGTGTCATTTATTACTTTTGTTTGTTTATTCCTTTTTTGTCCTCAGGTCTTTTTATTTTTCAAGAAATTAAGTATTACAAAATATATTTGAAACTCCCTCATATAATTCACTCAGATCCCATTTGCCTCCCATGATGGCTTAAGGTAAATTAGTAGTCTGAATTTGGTGGTTATCTTCTGATGTGTTTTTTACTTTTGTATTTATGTGTCCCATATCCATATGAAATGTTATTTTGCATTTATATATTACATGAATGATTCTGCAGCTTACTTTTATCAACTATCACTGCTTTTGAGATTTGTCCATCTTGACACAAGTATCTTTAGAAAATTTGTTTCAGTGTTCACTTTAGAATTAAACAAACTATACAGTTTAGCTGTTATTTTGTTAGATTGTTTTCAATCATCCATTTTTTGTAAGTAATGTTGCAATAAATGTCTTGAGACATGTTTCTGGACTATCCAGATCTTGGATAGTAGGGTATGCACATCTTCCATTGTGAGATATTGTGAAAATGTGTTCTAACCCTATGTCAATTTACATTTCCATCAGCAGTGTATGATAGGTTGTCTTTCTCCATATTCTTTTTTCAAAGCTTGCTCATATCAACCTTTTTAGTTTTTGCTACTCTGAGACATATGAAATTTTGTCTCTGTTTTAATTTCTTATTCACAAAGGAGGTTGATTATCTTTTCTTAGGTTTATTGGTTATTCAGCTTTCATTTTCTTAAAATTGTTTGGTTCTTTAGCCTGTTTCATGGGTTCTTTTTCCATATTCTCCTGCTAATTTGTAATGCAATTTTTGTCATCTATTGCATTCTCACTGTCATTTTTGTGTGTGTATGTGTCATATGCCTTCCTTCTGGATTCACCTTCCTTGTTAAAACGTATCACTTAGTTATTTAAGTTAAAGTCTAAGTGTTAAATTCTCCTAGGCTTTTTATTCTGGAAAAGTTCTTTATCTTTAGTCTTTACTCTTTGCTTTTTTAAAAAAGATTTTATTTATTTGAGAGACAGAGTGCATAAGTTGGATGGGAGCAGCAGAGGGAAAGGGAGAAGCAGGCTCTCCACTGAGCAGGGAGCCAGATGTGGTGCTTGATCCCAGGACCGTGGGATCATGACCTGAGTTGAAGGCAGATATTTAACCAACTGAGTCCCCCAGGTGCCTCTATATCTTTATTCTTGATGTAGTTTAGCTGGATATAAAATTATAAGATTTCCTCTCAGTATTTTGAAGCTATTGCTCCATTGTCTTCTTGAATCAATTATGGGGGAACAGAAAACTTCGGTGAGGCTAACGGTTATTCCTTTCTACATATTATGGATTTTTTTTTTGCCTTTGATACCTTCTACACTTTTTATTTGTCCTTGATAATCTATGATTTCACCACCACATAGCTGGATGTAGTCTTATTTTTGAATTACCCTACTAGGTATTTGGAATGCTTTGCCAATCTGTGGATTCATGTCATTCAAGTCTTGGAAATTTTCATAATCAACTCTTGAAATATTGTACCCATTATTCCCTTCACTGTCTTTTTCCTGAACTCTTAACCTCCTTAGTTAGAGCCTCTCCCACCTTCATATCTGAGAACTGTGCTAAATTATGAGGCAATCACAAACAATACCTTTCAATTTACTATTTAAATGCATCAGTGCAGAATTTATCTCATCAGTTGAAATTTTTTTAATTGAATTTAAATTTGACTAATTAAGTGAGTTTTGCCTAGGCTAAGCAACTAAATATTAAACTAAATAATTGTATTTTTCACTTCTAAAAATTTTTAATTTATGTTTATTTGATGCATTTTTATTTAATTTCTGCTAATCTTTGCTTCATTATGTTTTGATCCTTTTGAATGGATGGAATTCTTATATTTATCTCTTTGCCTATCATAAAATACTGTAAATTTGTCTCCAAATTACTATACAAAATATAATCTGCAATATTATGGATGTTTGATGTCTATCTTTTTATAATGTAGATTTCATCGTATGCTTTGAAATACAGGCCCAAGGCTGACTTTCTGTCTTTTTTTTTTTTTTTTAAGATTTTATTTATCCATTTGACAGACAGAGATCACAAGTAGGCAGAGAGGCAGGCAGAGAGAGATAGGAGGAAGCAGGCTCCCTGCAGAGCAGAGAGCCCTATGTGGGGCTCAATCCCAGGACCCTGGGATCATGACCTGAGCTGAAGGCAGAGGCTTTAACCCACTGAGCCACCCAGGCGCCCTGACTTTCTGTCTTCTTATTGCCCTGTTTCTTGCTTATTCTTGCTGTTGAGACAATTTAGCCATTGCTTTTGTTCAGCTCACCCCAGCTCCCAGTCTAGAACCAGGAAGTATTCACATTATTCTGAAGTTCTTGATATTGTGGATGAAATAGTGACTATCACAAATTCATTCCCTGAGTCAGAGGGTTACTAAGCTTCTCCTTGATAATAAGACTGAAGATGTATTCCCTACATCCCAAGGCCTCCATCTATAATTCTATCACAGATGGAAAGAATCTCCACACCAAACAGAAATCTTGGCTCTGTGCCCTACCTAGTATGGAACACTCCAATCCTTACTGTACTGGGGCCCAAGATCAGGGCTGTGTTCTTTCAGATGCAGAGCACAGAGGTCCCAGGACTTCAACCTATCTTCCCCCTTGGAACTTGTTTTGTTTCTGA